CATAAAAAGTGATAAATTTCTGAAGGGGGGATTTCCCCTTGCCCCCCCCCTTTGGTTACGCCTAGGAGTGAATTTAACATAGTCTAGAAGAGAAAAAATAAAGTCAAATTAACTTCAATCAAAAGTACACCAATTTGAACAAATATTTAAATGTTTAGAAAATGAGATTAATTTTTTCTTAATTTTCATTTATCCGAACCTCGGGTTTGAACCCCGGGTCTAAACCACAGGTCTGAATCCCGGATCACAACCCCGGTTCTCGGGGTTCGTGCTCAAAGCTGGTTTAGTAGATTTTTAGACCCAAATCCCAGGTCTGGGTTTTACATAACCAACTAATTAACAACATTTTATTCATGTTGTAAATTTCTAAATGTAAAATATTTTCCTTTCAATTATTAAATTTTAATTGAAAATTAAAATGAAATTCGAATTTGTTATAAAAATGACATCTGTCATTGTTATGTGAACTTATATGTATAACAGGATTTAACTTCTTTCTGGGTTACTTTGAATTCATAGTGGCGCGATTGCGATTTAGACGCGATAAATACAAAATACAGTAAATATGATATGGCATTCATAGTTACCGATCGCGCGATTTGATACGCGAAAGCAAATCGCCGCGATTTTTTCAAAACACAAATCATTTTGTGTTTATCGCGAGATTTTGAAATAGTGCTTCGTTAAATACAGATTTTGGTGAATATAGCTCAAAATTTTTGATTTTGTGCTACTTTTAAATTTAGCGCTAATTTTTTATTAATTGAAATGAATTCAATGACAACCTTTTTTGATGATATAAAACCAAAGGATCAAGTTAAAATTATGATTTAAATTTAATTTTTTTAGAAAATAGATAAAATAGCTTTTATAGATGCAAATGATATATTAAATGAAATAACAGGAGGTATACATGAATGTAAAATATATCATTTTAATTGATAAAATTATTTAGGTGATCTCATTGATAGTGAGAATATATCAGATGATATATTTATTCCCAAAGATTCTGCAGCACTAAATCTTAGTAATGATTCTGGTAATTATTAATATCTAAAAATTTATATTATCTTTTATATAGAATCTATGTCCTAAGAGAAAGAACAATAATATGGGTAATTAATATTTTTTGATTTATTGATAAATTTTAAATAGATGACTATAGGAAATTAATGAAAATAAGAAGCAGATAAAGCATTAATAACCTTGGAAGTGCTTAAAAATAAATCAACAGAACATGCAATATGTTTAATGTTAAAAGAAAAATTAGATGATTGTACCAAAGAGGAAAAAAAAGAAATAACAAATAAAATACTTGATATTATAAAAGATTGATTAAAATTATTTTGTATATATTTTTGTTATTTGAAATATATATTTTGTATGTATTTATATTATTTGAAATAAACATTTTGTGAAATACATTGAAGATATAATTATTCCCAAAAGTCCTGCATTAATTAAGCCTTGTACTGAGTTTGGTAATTAATAAGGTCTAAATATATATAATTTATAATGAATGATCTTTATCTTAGAGAAAGTTTAATGACATTGGTAATTTATGTTAACTTGCTTTATAAAAATATTTTCTATAGATGAATTTAGAACTATATAGCTTTTTTAGTGACATTCCTACATATATATTTTATGAGTTTAGACTATATTAATAATAACTTTATTTTTTATTATAATATATATAAAATAAAAAACAAGATATTTATAAAAATTAGATGATTGTACCAATCAGGAAAAAAAAGAAATAACAACTAGAATACTTGATATTATAAAAAATTATTGACTAAAATTATTTTGAATATATTTTTGTTATTTGAAACTATATTAATAATAAATTTATTTTTATTATAATATATAAAATACAAAACAAGGTATTTATATAAAATACAAAACAAGATATTTATATAACATACAAAAAAAGATATGATTAAATCTATTATTTTTTTTTTTCTCTTTAGCTTTCACCTTTTCTGGTGGTAAGCTCCTTCAACATCTCTCTCCACTTTATGTTATTCATACAATCTCTTTTATCTATTTTATACTTCTTTATATTGGCTCTAACTTTATGGCCCCATTGAAGTTTTGGCCTTCCTCTTTTACGTTTGCCCATCACTTCCAAACTTTCAACTTTATTTCCTATGTAGTTCATAGGCCTTCTCATTGTGTGCCCATACCACCTAAGTCTGTTTACCATTAACTTAGTCTTAATGGGCACTACCTTTAAACTATTTAGTATTCTTGTACTGCGCACCTTATCCTTTCTTGTTACCCAAGCAATCATCCTCAGCATTCTCATCTCCATAGTTTGTAGACTTCTCTCGTCTGATTCTTTGGTTGGCCATGTTTCCGAACTATATAGAATAGTTGGTTGTACTATGGAACTGTAAATTTTTCCCTTAAATTAGTGTGGGATTCTTTTGTCAAATAGCACTCCAGATAAAGATCTCCACTTTAACCACCCTTGATTAATCTTATTTTTTATCTCTTTTTCTATTGTGCCGTTTGTTTGTATAGTGGAGCCCAAATATTTGCAGCTTTTAATTGCGGATATCTGCCAATCATTTATATCAATACTCTCCGTTTCATCTCCTCCTATCACCATATACTCCGTCTTTTCTTTATTTACTTTTAATCCGTGCGTTTCTAGGATATTTATCCAATTCACTAACCTTTCTTTCATTTCATCCTTGGATTCGGCAAGTATCACAATATCATCTGCAAATATCATATTCCACTGGACTGTTTGAGGTATAGACTGTGCTAATACATCTATTACTGTAATTAAGAGAAGTGGGCTGAGAGCCGACCCTTGATAAACTCCTTCGGCTATTGTGAAGCCTGCTGAAGTACCTGTTGTGCTACCGACCATTGTTGTATGTCCCATATACATATCCTGTATTATTCTTATATATTTTTCGGGAACTTTTTTGTGGCGTAGCGCCCACCAGATAAGTTTTCTTGGGATTCTATCGAAGGCCTTTTCTAGATCGAGAAAGACCATGTGTAGCTTTTTGTTCTTTTCTCTGTATTTTTCACTCATTTGCCTAATTGCATGGATAGCATCGGTTGTTGATCTTCCAGGCATAAAGTCAAACTATGTCTCTCCTATTTCGATTATATCTCTTAATCTTTTTTCTATTATTTTTTCGTATAGTTTTAGACAGTGTGACATTAGTTTTATGCCCCTGTAATTTTGACAATTGTGTGGATCCCCTTTATTTTTGAAGATAGGAACTAGATAGCTCTTCCTCCATTTTTGGGGAACCTCTTCATTTCCAAGTATTTTATTGTACAGATTTGTGAGGAGATGTATTCCATCATCTCCTAGTGCTTTAAGGCTTTCTATTGGAATATCGTCTGGACCCCTAGCTTTGTTGTTTTTCATATGCTTGAGGCATGTGATTATTTCTTGTTCCGTAGGGGTGTTCATCGAGATGCAATATGTGGGAATTAAAGTTGAGAAGCTCCTGAAAATATTCTTTCCATCTATTCATTATTTCTTTTTCCTTTATTATCAATTTCCCATCTTTATTTTTGATTACTTTCGGAGCTCCGATCCCTAGAGTTCTTTTCTCGCTGTTTGGCTAATCTGTATATTTTATTTTGCCCTTCTTTGGTATGTAGATCTTCGTACATGTCATCGTATGCCATAGATTTGGCCCTAGCCACCGCCTTTGTAGCTAATCTCTTGGATTTTTTGTATCTTGACTTGTCATCTGCATTTTTGGATTTGTACCATATTTTATAAAGGGCTTTTTTCTCCTGTATAGTGGTTTGTACCTCTTGATTCCACCACCATAGTTCTTTGTGTGATTTGTTGCCTCCTCTTGTCAAGCCTAGCGTCGATTTTGCAGTGTCTATTAATCTGGATGAAAGGCCTGTCCAGATTTTTTCACTGACTTGTGAGCAATTTATTGTTTCAATGTTTGCATTGATTGCAAAGACATCTGTCATTGTTTTTAATTTGCCCCATTTGATGCATGGTTCCAGTTTTATCTTATTTTGAGTGGATTTATTTGAGATTTGTAAATCCATGATTAGTAGTTTGTGTTGTGCGGCGATATCTTCTCCTGGGATGACTTTGCAGTCTATTACATCTTTTAATCTTCTGCGAGAGATTAGCATGTAATCTATCTGTGTTTTCCTAGTACCACTTTTATATGTTATTAAATGACTGTCTTTTTTCCTATAGTAGGTGTTGGTTAAGGCAAGGTCGAAGGCTTGCGCAAATTTCAGTACGTGCTCTCCTTCATCATTTCTTTCTCCGTATCCAAAACCACTCTATTATATAGGACTTTTATATAAATATAAGCATAATCATGGAATGAATCAGAATAGCAGTGTTGATTTAATACTATATGAATCTTATGTTGCTAAATACCTAAATAAAAAATATATTTAAATAATAAATTGCTTTATTTTTACCTTAAACTAACCATAAGGCTTTTCTTCAACACTTATAGGATGTTTTATAAAATTGGTACATTTGGTATGTAATTAAGGTTTTACAAGTTTGAGTATATAATAAAAGGTTTCCTAAATTAAAATGAATTATAGATAAAATAGAATAATTACTTTTAGTCATTTTCAAATAGTTGAAAAATTTAGGCTCATTTTAAAGGATAGTATCTTCTCTTCAAGATCATTCTGTAAAAAAATAATAATTTGAGATGGATACCATTTTGAATTAATAACGCTTTGCACTGCACTATAATGAAAATCTGCGATAACACGGCGAAATCGCAATCGCTCTTCACTATGAATTCAGGGTTAGGAAAGAGGACATAAAATTCGCCCTCTTGCGATATCGCGGCGAAATCGCAATCGCCCTTCACTATGAATTCAGACTTGAGCATATAAATTTTATGCTTATCCGAAATTTACCGAAAAGTTTACCGACAAAATACCTAATTATAACTAAAAAAATAGTAGGCGGTACGATACGTCTTTCTGTTATATTGAATAACCTTTTATTGTTGGGCATTAAAATTTAAAAAAAAATTTATAAATGGGTATTCTTGAAAAAATTACAGAAATTGAGAGAGAAATATCTCGAACTCAAAAAAATAAAGGCATGCATAGATTTTTAGTATATTTTCAATATTGTTTTAGCCACAGAATACCATTTAGGAGTTTTAAAAGCCAAACTTGCAAAATGCAGACTCCAATTATTAGAACCTTCTAAGAAGTCAGAAAAAGTGCTAATATAATTTATATATATTTATTATTCTAACCTAATAAGGGCGAAGGGTTTGATGTTATGAAAAGTGGTGATGCAAGAATAGCATTGATTGGATTTCCTTCTGTTGGAAAGGTAATAAATAATGCATAATATAACATTTGATAATCCAATTATAATATATATTGATCCCTTTATTTCTTTAATGCTATTATACATAATCATTAAAATTAATTATAAATATATAAATTAGCCTGAAATGTATATTCTTTTTAATTTAGTCAACTTTTCTTAATACTGTGACAAACCAACATAGTGAACAAGCTGCTTATGAATTTACCACCTTAACTTGTATTCCTGGAATTATAAATGTAAATTAGGCTTTATGTTTTTATATGGTTATCATTATTAGTATAATGATGCTAAAATACAACTACTTGATTTGCCTGGGATAATTGAGGGAGCAGCACAAGGAAAGGGAAGAGGCAGACAAGTTATTGCGGTAGCAAGAACTGCTGACCTAATACTTGTAATGCTTGATCCTACAAAAGGTGATACTCAAAAGTAAAAAAAATAACTATCATAAATTCAGGTATGACTTAAAATGCAAATATTATATAATAATATAGATTCCTATTTAGCTCTTTAATATGATTTAGAAAATGTTTTTAGTCAGATATTTAAAAAATTTTTTTTTTACAAAACTGAGAATTCCCTAATAAAAAGGCCTCAAATTAAAAATAAAATATAGATTCTACTAATACTAGACCTTTGTGCTGACAAAACTATTGGTGGCTGGTGTTTCAAAAAGTTAATTTGTGGCAAGTGGCACACCAATTTTTAGCAGTTGTCAACATAGGTAGCGTAAATTGGCTCACCATTATAAATTTTTTATAACATATTTTTTTATTGCTAATTAATTTTTTTTAATTAAAATTATACACTACAGATATCTCGCATATTCTTAGACCTTTATTGAAAAGAAAACTCATTATAAATTCAAAATCAATTTTGTAATTTTTTGATTATCATGTGTAAAAATTATTAATTTTATTTAAATTTTATGGACATATTGATGATCTTGAATCCTACGTTAACCCAATGGTAGAGAAAACTCTTTCAAATGCGCCAGTTTCCAAAACACAAAGAATATTTTTTAGCTAGTATGGAAATATTATGAAGTTCAATCCTCTTGTCTCCCAAGAAATTTGGAACATCCATATCTTGTTAATGGCATTTCCCAAGAAGAATATGCCATTCTTGTTCTAAATTACATAAAGTGGCATAATTTGTACTGTTGAATGTGTTAATTGCTAATTTTGTCAAATAATATGAATTTATTAGTGCTGTAAATGTTATTACAAAAAAGAAAGACATTACCGTTACTTGGGAAAAAGAAATGTACTCGTTACCTTTTTAAAAAAGGAACGTGCATTACTGACTATTCAAAAAAGTAACGGGTTACTTGTTACTTAAAAAATTAAATATTATATATTTTTTTCTTATTAGCTATCACCATTTCTGATGGTAAGCTCCTTCAATATCTCTCTTCTTACTCATGCTATTTTTATCTAATTTATATTTCTGATCGATTCCATTTGGATCTCCCATCGGAGTATTGCTATCAAGGCCAAAGCAACTTGATCTCGCACTGAAGTATCAAATTGACAGATATCCCACCGGAGTATTTTTATCGATTCCATTTCTTCCACCAGAGCATCAATCCCAATGGATCTCCCACTGGAGTATCGTTATCAAGTCCATTGCAGCTTGGTAGACATTGAACTTGAATGGCCCCTGAGGTCACCATTATCCTAGTGCTGGCCACAAAATTGTTATCATCTTTTAATGACCCACAAATTCAGCTGGCTGTCTTATTTCGTTTATTGGACAAGTATCCTAGCACCCAGCTGTCATCCTGTTGGTGATCGGGATGGCATTTCTCAACTCAGAAATTTATCATATCATGTCTATACACATCTGTCATCAAAGAAAAACTTAAAATTTTTTAGTTGCTTACCAGGATTGAACCTGGAACCTTTGGTTTCCAAGCCTACAACACCACTGGAAATATTATATACAAAAAGAATATTTATTTTTTTCCTAGAATATATAATATAAATAAAATTATAATATAAGAATATATAATAAGATAAGATCTGTTTATAAAAAAAATTTTCATATATATAATTATAGTGTAAATAAAATTATACCAAAATAATAAATTATATATAAGATAACATCTTTTTGTAACAATTTTATTGATTTTCAAAATTTTGACCAGACAAACAAGAGTGCTTAGTACCCAACAAAGCTTGCTAAACACAGGTTGAATTGGTGTAGAGGATGGGAGAGTTGTATTATATTTAATAAAAAAATTTACTGGGAATTTATTAAAATTTTTTTAAAGAATTATCTTTATAATGAAAAAAGCTTAATAGATCATCTTCACAAGGATCTTCATTCATTTACTCAAAAAAATTTTTAATATTCTGGTATGCGTGTTAGATAAAGGAAAGGAATTACGTCTGCTCTTTCTTTATCAATATCTTTTCTCAAACTGAAAATTAGTTCTAGCATTCTTCCTTTGTTGACCTCTAATTTGATCCAGGGCCAATCCAATTTAAATAGCGGGTGAATTATTGCTGATAGTATATATTCAACTTTATAGATGTGTTTGAATCTATTGAAAATAAATTAATAAAAATACAAATTGTAAGCAATATTTGAACTGTATACCTTTTATCTACACCTTCCAGGATTGAATTAATAAGTGGCTTACAAAACTTGAAATTATTCAAAGCCTTTTGTTTAAGTTTTAATAATATAAAAGTTATTGTGGGAGTGAGATATCCCAAATGCATTTTTTTTTCGCTCTCAAAAATTGAAAGAGCCGTAGCAATCGGTTCCATAACCTATAAAATCATATTTCTTAATTAACACTAACCATACAATATTCATCCATGAACGTGTCATTATCTGAAAATCTCTGTAATTCAGATAGGATTCGTCAAATTTTTGACAATTCTCCTTAATAAGACTATTAATTTCACGTTATAAAAAGATTTCCACCTTGTTATAACCGGTTTAATCAGATATCTTCCCATATTTTTCTTAAAAATGGATGCACAGTTTGAAGATTGTCCATGTTTATTCCACATTAGCTTACAATTACAAAATATAATTTTTGTAATGTTTTTAAAATGGACATCGACCTGCCTTTTCAATGTCAACACTTGCTATGAGATTTAAAGGTGTGTTGAACAGGAATGATGCTTAGGTAACTATACACTACTACTATTATAATTAGTATTTTGATTTCCAAAATGATCAAATAATGGCAGAGGAACTATTTCATCATCCGATTCCTCTCCTTGTTCATATACTCTAATAAACTTTTAATAAATATATTATATTTTTTTTACTTGAAAGTTTTACATAATTTCTAGCCTTGTTCGTAATGCATTTGGTCACTTTTTTTTGTATTTTATATGGTAAAAATTTTAAAGATTTTTTTTGCTAGATAATTAAATATGTTTGGTTTAGCCTTTTACAAGCTAAGCAGACTGAAACCCCTCAAGAGTGTCTAGGTGTAGCCAGTGTACCGTCATCCCTAAATAAGAACTTTTTTGAAAGACATTATTATCAATATATAAAATTTATTTTTTATATACCGATGATAGTTGCAAAGACAATTTTTGGGGTACATAATAAATCCACTAATTTCTTTGCCATGGTGTCATAAGCTTTGTTAATTTTTAATACGAGGGTAGACCTAGCTAGACATCACATTTTTAGTTGGCTGCAATTTTTAGATAATATTAATAAATGCAGTACTTTCTACAATTGAAAATGGTTTTAATTCTTTAATTACAAAATTAAAAACTAAATCATCAACAACTGATTATTACTATTCAAATGTTCATTAATCTTTTTCATTTTTGAGGAATGTACAGTTACAGTCTATAATTTTTTAATTAAAATATTATTAATTCCTGAAATTTTTATTAAAAATAACTTAACTTTATTAATAATTGAAGATAAATCTTTTAAAAATTTTTAATTGCATTAATCTAGTGCTGTAAACGTTACTACAAAAAAGAAACGCGTTACCGTTACTATCTGAAAAAAGGAACGCGTTACCATTACTCGTTACCTTTTTAAAAAAGGAACGCGCGTTACCGACTTTTTAAAAAAGTAACGGGTTACTTGTTACTTAAAAAAATTAAATATATACAAAAATAATATTTATTATTTTCCGACAATATATAATAAAATAAAACTATACAAAAAGAATATATAAGATCGTTTTATAAAAAAAAATTTCATATATATATAAAATTATACAAAAATAATATATTATAAGATAACATCTTTATGTATCAATTTTTTATTTATTTTTAGCAACAATTGATTTCAAAATTTTGATCAGACTAACAAGAGCGCTTAGTGCTCAACACAGCTGGTTAAATATATTTATAATATTTTAATAATAAATAAAATCTATAATGAAATTATCTGTAAAATTTTATTATTGGATAAATCCTGGCTACGCCACTATTCCATATATATATATTATTTAAACAAAGTTATTCTTTAAATTTATTAACAATTATAGTCAAACCAATAGCAATACTAAAACATGAAATAGAAGATATTGTTTAAAAAACTCAATATAATACTTTGAACCAAAACCAATATTTTGTTAATCTTGGGTTTTTAATGTTGGTCAGCCCAATACTGCAGTATAATTTAATTGCTTATATTTAGGGCTGTGCCGATTTACACATTTTCACCGATCCGATCCGATATTGCTCCAAAACTGATGCGATACTGATACCGATTTAATATTTTAACACCACTCCCCTTTTAACCAAAAAGAAATTAATATTATTTCTACAATTAAGACTATAATTTAAAAAACATATATTTGATAATATCTCCATTTTATGTTGGTATGAATTATAAAATTGTATTTTAATATATAAAATTATAGTATATTAGATTTTTTAAAATAAATACGAGAGCCTCTAGATTTTCTGGCAATAAGCTTCTACGATATGGAGTATCTATATCCCCTGCCGTACTGAAGGTAAACTCAGATGATTCCACAGATAACCATTTTGCAAAATTATCTTTGTCTCTTGTAAAATATTTCCATAATTCAGATACCATATTTAAAAAAATTCTTTTATTTAAAGTATAAATAATAAAATTGGCGTTATTATTTAAAAAGATTTAAAATAAATAAAACTTTGGGTGTTCATTTCTATTTTTATAAAAAAACTTTTAAAATACTATAAATCTATTTTAAAAAAGAAATAAATTTAGAGGGTGTTGTGCATTTGCATTGTTTAAAAAAATATTATTTAGAAAATATTATAATAACGTAAAATAAATATACATAACTTAAAATAACAAAAAAAGAAAAGTAAAAAATCGGATCGGTTTTTTCCGGTATCGGCCAGATCCGATATTTTTGGAAAACGCTAAATATGGGCGCCGATCCGATATTTAATATCGGACAGCCCTAATTATATTTTAATTCCATGATTAAGCTTTTC